GTTCCTCGAGTTACGTACGAAGTTTCTCCAGTTTCTCTTCAGAGAAGTAGAAGGCAAAATCTGGTACAACGCAGTCAGGCGGAATCTATAGGAAGACGCAAACAGCTCTCACCTGGAATCTGACCTGAAATCAGATGCGGCAGACTGATGGAGCTGATCAGAGCCTGACGCTTCTTCTTGTCGGCGCATCCTCTCCGTCTCTAAGCGCATACCGGCGAGAGCATCATCCACAGACCGTGGCAGCTTCTCTTTCCCCAGCGTCTGGTCGAGGGCACGGTGCGTGTTGGGGTCGTCATCTCCTGATTGCACAGAAGCATCCATGTCGCTCAGCTCCTCAGAATCGTCGGATTCTGACTCTTCGGACGTCTCTTGGATGTCCTCGCCGGCGTCTTCCAGCTCCTGCAAGTGGGGAGGAGTTTGAGTAGAGCATAAATGGCCTAAGAATACGCGGCATGCAGCTCGTTGGAATGGCTTGCAAGTACGCACCGAAATCACCCCTTGCATCGCCAGGGTATGGCATGCGCAGTGATCTCATTATCCTCAATAACAATCACACCAGCATCTCCCTTGTCAGCGCCACGCCACCTAACACTTCCCTTCAATTGGACTCCCCAAGGCAGGAAAAAGTGTGACATAAGGTACTTCAACCAGCCCAAATAGCAATAGAACTTCTCCCCGCCGTCCCACATGAGAGCACGGCCATTCGGAGAGAGCATCCATTGGCAGTATCGAGGAAAAGATGGACAAGCACCAGCCCCTAAACAACGCGAGCACTGGCAACAAGGATCGTCATCATGAGTGAGCACCACATCGCATTCCCCAGCAACCGAATATGGGGGCAGCGAACCCTCTAAGTGACGATGCAACTGGACTGCCTCAAGAGTATCGCGCTGTTCCTTGCTGAGCGGCTTAGAGAGGGCAAAGCAGCCCGTGAACTTGGTCATAACGTGCTCTATCTGCAGGATTCGATTCCCCCAAGTATAGTTCCCAGCCGTGTCCAAGCGTAGACTCTGGACATGAACGATAATCACCTCATCCGATGGCGTCGCCTCCTCCGCCTGCTCGGCAGCTGCCGTCGAGGTGGGGGGCATCCCCCTGCGCCTGGCACCGGCCCTGGAATTGACCACAGGACTCCTCAGATTCGAGGACCTTTTCAGGCCAGCGACCCGCCCTGGTCCGCTAGCTGCTGACGCCGGTGACTGCATTCGAGGGCAAAAAAGGCAATAAGACGTGGTCCCTGACAGCGCTGCCCCAAGACCAAGTGGACACTAAAGCCAGAGAGGGGTACAATCTCCCAATACCCCGCTTGCTCTCCGAGTGCGACTGATCAAGTGCTGCGCCAGAATTCGGCTGAGGAACAAGTGGTACTTCGTTTCCAGAACCTTTGGGATGTTTAGCAGGTACTGCAGATGTCACAAAAAGCTCGAACTTAACAAGCAAGGGGACAGCCGACAGCCAACCTGTGTAGCCTCGGCGGCAGCTTCGCGGCCCTTTGCAGCTTTGGCTTTTCTCCAACGAAGAAACTCGGCCAATTCCACCTCCTCGGACTCGACACTTTCGATCTGCAAGGAGCGAAGGTCTACAAGTGAGGTTCTGAATCATACTTAGGGGAACGCGTTCGCCACCAATAGAAGCAAGTTTGGGGGTGATGGCTGCCAAAGAAGACCAATCCCTGTCGGACAAGCATATTAAGGCTCTTTTTGAGGTCAACGACGATGACGAAGATGCTTGCAAGTCGGCGAGGATGTTTTTTGTTGCTGTTACAGAGGCGATCGAGGCTGTTTCTCAACAGTACGGATGCGGCGCTTGGCCAAGAAGGCTCGATTGGCCAACAGCTTTCCAGGAGTGCAAGAAGGGACGTGGTTTTAAGGTGAAGGGTCCTGGGTTCGTGGTACGCATCTACGGAGTTTATGACCAAGGTGGCCATCCCTCTCTTGACTACGAAGTGGAAGACCCAGCTTCCCTCGAGGACTTCTACAACGAGAGACTGTACGAGCAGTGTCGGTGGCTTCATTGAGAAGTGTGACACTCACTTCTGCACGTGCGCCAGCAGTGGTAGTCTGCCGCTCTTGAAGCGGCAGAAGAGTGGCAGGTTCGGTCTCGGTTTGGGGGGCCGCTGTAGGCCTGCCGCGCAAAGCTTGCAGACGGTACAGCATAAGACATTTAATGTATGAAGGCATCGTTCAGACAATGCAGGAAGCTAAGAGAGAAGAGCTACTTGCAAGAAGGCCGCAAGATCGATTGGGATACCCGCCCAAAGACAGACAGCGTGTCCGAGGAAGCTTAGCCATCCCCGTGCCTTAGCCATCCCCGTGCAAGGCCTACAGAATGTCAGCGGTCATGGAATATGCACCAAGAAACGCCACAAAAGAGCTCCGCATGAGCTCGAAAAGAGTCCGACCATAGAAAAGCGCACACCTTGGGCGTTTGGGCTGCTTCGGAGCCCTTTGCAAGTCCGCCTTCCGTTCCGGACAGAAGTTGCCCGATGGGTACCTCCTCCGGCGTATCAAAGTCCGCAATGGTCGCGCTTGCCGGGGGCGTATCCACCTGCGAGAATTGATGACGTCCAGTCAAGAACATGGCATAGAGAGGCAGATAACTTGCAACTCGTTTCAGCAATCCAGACCTGTATATTCCAGCAGTGCACTTGGATCGGTGGTACTGGCATGGCATGCGTGCCATGCTTGTTCTCACAGTCGCTCACGAGTAGAAGCGCTTGCCCAACATGGGAGCCTGCTAACAGCTTCCTGTCGACCCTTGAAGCGGACCACGACACTCAACAAAGTGTGTCTGAACTTGGTCTGAACTCCTAAAGCTTACATGCACATTGCTCACCCGTTCCTCAGGCCGGCAAGGCAGAATCTGTTCACGAATTCTGCTGTCCGTGCCCGCCACCTCTAGGATGTTCTCGTCCGATGGAGCTCGGTTTGCAGCCCCTTCCCTGCCTTGCCCTCGCTCGTTCGCGCCCGAGATCTGAGCACAAGGCGTCCCATGAATCGCTTTGTCGGAGGCAATCGTTCAAGTCAGTAAGAAAGCGCACCTTAATGTCGATGATAGACATGAAGCATGGGCGTCTGCCCTATGGTTCATGGCGCATGTACCAAGAATCGCCCTATTTCTACTCAAAAGAGAACGTGCATAATCTGGTACATCCTTCAAGGCCGGCCGGTTTCTAGACAAGATGTTGCTGTATTGTCATTGTGATCAAGTGCGTTGCACCAAGATCACCCGATCACCCGATCACCTGATCACTCGAAAGAGAAGAGGACAAAGCTTGGTACATCCCTGCAGATCATTGAAAGCTGGCTGGCCAGCTCCCTCAGCAAATTAAGGGAAGGGGACAACTTTCCTTGGTCGGCAAGCGGCACCTCTTCATGCAACGGCCAGTATCAAGTTGCCATGGGCAAAGGACTCACCTGCTCGCTCAAGCCACCTTTCTTCTTCCAATCTGCAAGGGCAGGGGCGTATATGCGCTCCACGTTAGGTTGACCTTGGGATGGCGGCTGATAAACCTCCTGCAAAGCAGAGGTGTGAGGGTGTTGCTACAAGGACAGAAACAGGTCTTCTTCGACGGAGTCACAAGTCAAGGCAGGCTTTCCAGCAATTACATCGTAACAGCACCTCGATTGAGCACCCCCTGGCCCGTTACTGACAGGTGATGTGCTTCACATGCAGAATACGGAGAACCCCCTTTCTCCAGCATGCCAGCAGAAAGAACACTCTGAATGTAACCATGAGCATTCCCTAATCCAAGTCAGTCGAAGGCAGATGGTCACACAAAGACAATATCACACAGGGGCAGGAAGCAGGGGGCTTACTTCGAGAGATGGCAATGGGATAAGTGGCCGACCGGAGCTGACCCCGCGTGGCAGATTCTCGCCTCGAACTCCAGTCACCTCGTCCGGGGCAGGCCCAGGGTTGCTCTCAACTCCGCCAATGGTCAGAAGCTTTGCTGTACAGAAACGATGGTCCGTTTAAGCTGGGCAAGCTTGCACAGAATAGCTGGCTGCTGGACACAGGGTGGGGGCTGCCAAAGGAACCGTCCGAAAGGAACCGTCACAGGTGCAATGAGACTGATAAATTGCATGATGGTGTTGCCATCGGTTGTCTCACCTATGAGAGATCTGCTCTTGGGCGTTGAATCCCAGTATGCCGCGTTCTCCCAGGATCCTTTGCAAGCTGCAAAAGACACAGAGTCCAGGTTCATGTGATGGACAACAAGCCATACAACCCGTCAGAGGCCTGGAACTGAGAAGGCACGTGAAAAGGCACGTGGTACGTCTGGAACAAACCAGCCGCATGCCGCATGTCCAGACTCAAACAAACTTGCCCGCATGCCGGAACCAGCGACGCTCACCTGATTCGTAGCAATCCTGGCAGCGATGCTGTTCCGCGGTGGACGAGGCCCCTCCCATTTGCCGCAGCTCCGCTTCGAGTCTGGCAGCTTCGACCTTCAAGCGCCATTCAACCCGGTTCTGTGCCCAGGCTGCAAAGTTCGGAAAGGTGGTTGATGCACTGCTGCATGGCGAACTCGTCTCAAGAGTGAAGATGCATGCGGACAAGGGCTGCAACAGCTCAAAGCTTTGCGGGCCTGGGGTGCAACAATGATGTTCTCACCTGCGCGGTCTCTAGTGATGCGAAAACAGCCTGTCGAATGGACGTGCCCTCTGCAGAGGTACTTGACATTCCCCCCTTCCTTGCTTCCTCGGTGTCCGAATTCTGCGGTGGCAGCGCACTCGTGGCAGTGAAGAGTATGTGGGTCTGTGAGGAAATGCGCAGAGGTTGGACAAGCACCTGGACTCTGAGCTTGGAGAGGCATGCAAGTCTATGTGCTTGGCGCGACGCACCCCTGACTCTTGCCGTCGTGTCTCTTTCTTCTGGCGTGGGGTTGGGGGTTTGTCACCGACAGCATGTACCAAGAATCAGCCCTTTATACTCTAAAGAGAAAGAAGGAAAGCTTGGTACACCCCAAGGACGGCCATGCCTGCTAGGATCTTTCCTTTAGGACTCTGTAATTGACAGCGTGTACCAAGAATCAGCCTTTTCAATTCTAAAAAGAAACAGGCAAAGCTTGGTACGCCCCAACAGGGCCAGCAGTCATTAGGCTTGTGGAGAGAGGCAGATTGTGCTTGGTGCAAAAGAAGGTCTGGGGGCACCCTTCCAAACCGTGACTACGAAGCTGTTCTTGGTACAGAGCTGCAGAGCCAGCCACAGCCTGACGGCGCTACCGCAACAGTGTTACCTGGTTCATTCCCTTCATTATCCTAAAAACAAACGCATCGTTCTTGGTACATTGATGCAGGGCCAGCCATCCACGTGACCATAGAAACAAGGTTGTGATTGACTGCACTGTACCAAGATCTGGCCATTACTCTTTTAGAAAGAAAAACGCTCTTCCTGGTACATCACTGTAGGCGCACCCTTCACCTTTTTGATTGGACGCTGAGGTTACAGCGCAACGCGTCCCGGCTTCTGCTTGGCCTCTGCTTGATCACTCAAACCACTTGACCCAGAAGCACTGCACCAGACACTCACCTCTTTCTGCGGCTTTGCCAAGCGTTTTCCCAAGGCGCTGATTTGCTTTCTTCTTGGCACTCCCAGACGCTTTGCAAAACCTGCCGTGCGCTGACCCACGAGCAGCGCATGCCTCTTTCTTCAAACCTCTAGAATTCTGGCCCCTTCGTTTACGAGGGGCATCTTGAACATCGCACTCAGCGTTCACAGCAGCGATGCGCGCCTCCTGCTGCTCAGCGCTGATGCTTATTCTTTCCCTATATGCAGCAGCGTGCGCATATCGAGCTGCTTGGCAGACCCTGTGATCAGACTTGGACCGGCCATGAGGCCGGCCTCCAGCCATGACTGATCACTCTAAGTACTGGCAATCCTTTCCCTGCAAGGCGAAGAGGAGAGTGAGGACTGGATTGCCGTCTCAAGAAACGTCCGCCCCAGGTGCGCCTTGGTATAACATTCTGAAAGGCGCGTGCCGCTGCTGCTGGTCATAAAACTCGGTTCCTTTGCACACAAGGCAGCTGAATAGGCTGCAGCCTTATCCCAAAACCTGAACCATTCGGACCATTGTCTGAGAATGGACAAGTAATTAGCTGCTGTAGTACCCACAAGAAGCGCTAAAACTTAAAGAGCCAAAGTCCCGCTTAAAGAAGGTGCCAGCTGGTGACTGAGCTGAGCTACGCTTCTGTCAGTTCTGATGCCAGCTCTGAGCCCGCTCTGAGCTCAGGTGCTCAGTGTTGCATGGGGCTTATCCTGATT